AGGGCTTTTGCCTTTGTTACATTTGCAGATGATCAGGTATTTTCCTCTTTAATAATTTTGTCCCAGCTAATTAGGTAATTTTTTTTTGTACTTTTCCCATCCAGCTAATTGTCATCCTTAGCTAAGATTTCTGACTTGGTAAGCTGTGGGGTGTGTGGGCCTAGATATTTGTGATAAATGCTTTAGTATTTTTCAGTATGTGGTGTTTAACTGGGAGTGAGTGTTCTATACCTTTAGAAAGTAAACTGAAAACCCTCTGCTGCTATTACTGAAGCTAAAGGCTATTTTATGAGTTTTAAATAAGCGTTCATTATTTATTTTTCCTCCGGTTTAGCTAATGACTTGACATCTAAGTTTTATTGCTACTTTGATGTGTGAGTCAGTGGTTTAGTTGCCCCTATTGACATCCCTTATTTTCTTGTAGGTTGCCCAGTCTCTTTGTGGAGAGGACTTGATCATTAAAGGAATCAGCGTACATATATCCAATGCTGAACCTAAGCACAATAGCAATAGACAGTTAGAAAGAAGTGGAAGATTCGGTGGTAATCCAGGTGGCTTTGGGAATCAGGGTGGATTTGGTAACAGTAGGGGGGGCGGAGCTGGCTTGGGAAACAATCAAGGTAGTAATATGGGTGGGGGGATGAACTTTGGTGCTTTTAGCATTAATCCAGCAATGATGGCTGCAGCCCAGGCAGCACTGCAGAGCAGCTGGGGTATGATGGGCATGCTAGCCAGTCAGCAGAATCAGTCAGGCCCATCAGGTAATAACCAAAGCCAAGGCAACATGCAGAGGGAGCCAAACCAGGCCTTTGGTTCTGGAAATAATTCTTATAGTGGTTCTAATTCAGGTGCAGCAATTGGTTGGGGATCAGCATCAAATGCAGGGTCAGGCAGTGGTTTTAATGGAGGCTTTGGCTCAAGCATGGATTCTAAACCTTCTAGCTGGGGAATGTAGACAGTGGGCGATGGTTGTATAGACTGGTGGGAATTCAAATTTTTCTAAACTCATGGTAAGTATATTGTAAAATACATATGTACTAAGAATTTTCAAAATTGGTTTGTTCAGTGTGGAGTATATTCAGCAGTATTTTTGACATTTTTCTTTAGAAAAAGAAGAAGAGCTAAAGGAATTTTATAAGTTTTGTTACATAAAGGGTTGAAATATTGAGTGTTTGAAAGTGAACTGCTGTTTGCCTGATTGGTAAACCAACACACTACAATTGATATCAAAAGGTTTCTCCTGTAATATTTTATCCCTGGACTTGTCAAGTGAATTCTTTGCATGTTCAAAATGGAAACCATTGATTAGAACTACATTGTTTTCTCCTTGTTTTAATTTGAACCCCACCGTATGGATTTTTTTCCTTAGGAAAACTCTCCGTTTTGGAGATCATGGTGTCACAGTGTTTGGTTCTTTTGTTTGTTTTTTAACACTTGTCTCCCTTCATATACAAAAGTACAATATGAAGCCTTCATTTAATCTCTGCAGTTCATCTCATTTCAAATGTTTATGGAAGAAGCACTTCATTGAAAGGAGTGCTGTAAATGCTCTGCCATAGGAATCCTTCCGCCTACATGCTTTCTCATTCAGGAATTTGTCATCACGCTGCACAGGCTGCGTCTTTGACGGTGGGTGTCCCATTTTTATCCGCTACTCTTTATTTCATGGAGTCGTATCAACGCTATGAACGCAAGGCTGTGATATGGAACCAGAAGGCTGTTTGAACTTTTGAAACCTTGTGTGGGATTGATGGTGGTGCCGAGGCATGAAAGGCGAGTATGAGCGAGAAAAGGAGAGCGCGTGCAGAGACTTGGTGGTGCATAATGGATATTTTTTAACTTGGCGCGATGTGTCTCTCAATCCTGTGGCTTTGGTGAGAGAGTGTGCAGAGAGCAATGATAGCAAATAATGTACGAATGTTTTTTGCATTCAAAGGACATCCACCTCTGTTGGAAGACTTTAAGTGAGTTTTGTTCTTAGATAACCCACGTTAGTTGAATGTGTTAAGTGAAACGATACTTGTATTTCCCCTACCCCTTTGTCAACTGCTGTGAATGCTGTATGGTGTGTGTTCTCTTCTGTTACTGACCTGTAAGTGTGGTAATGTGAACTGAAGCTGATGGGTTGAGAACATGGACTGAGCTTGTGGTGTGCTTTGCAGGAGTACTTGGAAGCAGAGTTCACCAGTGAGCTGGGGGTGTCTCAAAGAAGGGTGGAAGTTCTAATGTCTGTTAGCTACCCATAAGAATGCTGTTTGCTGCAGTTCTGTGTCCTGTGCTTGGATGCTTTTTATAAGAGTTGTCAATGTTGGAAATTCTTAAATAAAACTGATTTAAATAATATGTGTCTTTGTTTTGCAGCCCTGAATGCAAAGAATTCATAGCAGTTAATTCCCCTTTTTGACCCTTTTGAGATGGAACTTTCATAAAGTTTCTTGGCAATAGTTTATTTTGCTTCAAATAAACTTATTTGAAAAGTTGTCTCAAGTCAAATGGATTCATCACCTGTCATGCATTGACACCTGATACCCAGACTTAATTGCTATCTGTTCTTGCATTGTCCAAAGTGAAAAGTTTTTTTTTTTTCTTTTTAAATCTAGTTTTTAATAAGTCTGGGTGACCGCACCTAAAATGGTAAGCAGTACCCTCTAGCTTTTTCTTAGTGCCTCTGTGCATTTGGGTGATGTTTTATTTACATGGCTTGTATAAATCTCCATTGGGAAATCATGCCTTCTAAAAAGATTCTTCTTTGGGGGAGTGGGCAAACCAGTGTTAATTATTTTTAAATGCTTTGTAGCAAAGCATATCAGTTGAAAAGAAGGGGATATCAGCGCCTTTCTAGTTTGGGATTTGAAAAGTGGAATTAATTGCAATAGGGATAAAGTGGAAGAAACCACAAATTATCTTGTGCTCGAAATCCATTAAGAAGCTCCATAGCTTTGAGAACTAGCAGGGTGGGTTGTCTGTCTGTGGAAGTGTTAAGTGAAATGGGCTTTGTCTTCCAAAGGTGGGGGAAATACAGTCATGTTGAATAAAATCGTTTACAAAACTCAGATTAGATTCTCGCCATTGTTAAGTATGTAAAAGCAATAATATATTGATTATTGTACTTTTTATGTAACTACTATGAGAGTGGAGCTCGTTTTCTAATGGAAGAATGTAACAATTTTGTGTTTGATAGTTTACGTAATGCCCTTATCTAATTAATTATGATAAATAGGTTTTTTGCAAGTTACACGTTTTAAACTGTTGTAAGTGAAGTCCTCTTTTAGATTTGTGATCGCCACGTTTCATTATTCAGTTTCCTCTGTAAAAGGATCTTGCATTGTTTTAATTTTTTTTTTCTGCATCTAAATTGCATGATTTCCAAACCCTGTACCATCTGAATTTTGCATTTTAGCATTTGCACTATTACTCAGCAGCAGTAACATGGTAACACTTAAAATGGTATTCGGGGACCTCCAAAGACTAAACTGACAAGCCTTCAAGGAGCCCAGGGGTAAGTTAATTTGTCAATGGCATGGTTTTAATCCCTTATTTACACTTGTGTAAATCTAGTTACTGGTCTTAGAAGGCTTTCAGTGTTGTAGCCTTCTGTTAACATGTTTGTGGTACTATATAGCTATGGGGTATTTAATTCTACCCTAAAAATATTTTTTTGAAGTTTAGAAGTAAACTCTTTGGCAAAGATTTGTTTTTAAAGTCTATTTGGTCATCTAAATGCATTCATTCTAAAAAATTTTTGAACCAGTTGAATAAAAATTTTTGTTGCCACCACAGTTTAGTGTCTGGAGTCTTACTGGAAAACACAATTTCCTTTTTATATGTGACAAAGATGCTGTAAGTTAAAAAGTGAGTCTTTAAAAGAAGTTGCACTTTATATGCACAAGAGAACTTAGGCCAAAACTCACAATGAATTTTTAAGTACAATGGTAACTCTTTGGTTAGAATGAAAAACTTTGTTAGATGTTGACTATTAAAACATTTTAGGGAAGATTAGCCAGCTAAAATGAAATGAGATTTTTAAGGTTACATCAGAGCTTAAATTTTGACCTTAGGAAAAAGGAAGGTTCACTACTTAATTCAGAAGATGTGTGTGATAATTAGGAGAATATCTCTTAATTGTGTATTTTGAGTTCTATACTCAGCTATTGTATAATCTGCGATCATTGGTTAAGTGTACCCACATAACTACATGTTCATTGTAAGGAAAAAATACTAAGTTTATCTATAAAACCACCGTTTATTTTTAATGTGTTTATCTTATGGAAATATGCTGCATTTGATTCAGTCGTCTTCTGAATTTGAAAAATAACTGAGGTTATGTCTAAGTGCTGGGATCATCCTCATGACTAAATTAAATTCTTAGCATTGGAATTACTAGGTCAAAGTATGCATGCTTTTAAGGCTTGAAATATATTGCCAAATTGTCCTTTAGAAAATTTATGTTGTCTTTGACAATGTGTTATAGTGCTTTTCCATGTTCTTTTTGTTTGTCAACTTGATTGAGAAATTATATCTCACTGTTTTGTGGTATTGAATTTTAATATGGAAATCAGTACCTGGGCTAAAGTATTGATGTTTCCATGTTTCCAGTTCATCTGCAAAAAAACCTGTGATTCAAGGTTATTCCTGAACCAGCACTGCCGTGTTATGTAAAACTCTTAAAGATCAATAAGAAGTACAAAAATAGTAGAAAAAGTCAAAAGAACGTGAACAGGCTATTTCTAGAAATGCTAACAAAGCCAAGTACCAAAAGATACTGGACTTTGTAAATAATTTAATGCACATTTAGCCAGTTTCTGTTGCCTTGGCAAAGATGACTATCACTGTAATGGTTTATGTCCAGTTGAATCAAAGAGTAAAGGGTGAAAAATTTGCAAGCTTTCATGGGTCATTTGGTTTTGATTTTTGAATGGAGCGACAAACTACAGTGTTAATGTATCTCAGGTCACATTACTTTTACAGGTTTTTTTTTTTTTTTTTTTTTTTGAGGAATCATTTACTGATTGAAGACATACAGATTAAAAATTATTAATTATTTTCTTGATCCAAGGAATATAGTTCATGACTTTTGTGTAGACCCCGTATTGATGTGCTTCCCCACAATTAATGGAACCCCAGGACACTATTCCTCCCACAAACCACCTTCGTGTCTCATTATCTAGAAACACTAGTGCCCCTCCACTGTCACCTCTACAGCTGTCTTTGCCCCCAATTTCTAGCCCAGCGCAAATCATGTTGTCAGTTACTTGTCCCCCTTGATAGGGCTTTGTTTCATATGCAGCAGTACATTTTTGATGGTCAACAATTGGTATGTCAACAAACATTAGACTTCTGGCAAGAAAACCCCTTTGGGTTAATCCCCATCCGGATGCAGTTCCGATGTCATTTGTCCTCATGAAGGATTCAGCTTCTTTTCTTGGCAAGCAAATAGGCATGACGTTGCTATTGATTGCAACTCTGTTCTTCAGTTTAATCAATGCTATGTCGTTATCAAAACCAGCGTCATGGGTGTAATCTTCATGTATAAAAATGGCCTCTGCCCAGGCTTGCGTATAATGAGGTGACAGCCTCTTCAGGAAACCCATTCTGATGTCTAGGGAGGAGGCATCTTTTTGCCCATATACAGCGTGAGCAGCTGTCAGGATCCAGCCGTCGTGTAAAAGCGCACCTGCTGCTGTAGTGTCACCTAGTAGCAACAGGACTTGCCAAGGAAAATCACCAAGCTTTGCGTTTTGTCCTCCGTATATACGACCTTCTGTCTTACGGGTTGATAGTCCACAAACTGGAGAAAAGCAGATATAGAGAGCCTTTATAAGAACCCAGTGGTGGTTTTCGCCAATTATTTCCGCTTTGGAGTTGTATATATTTAATGTCAACCAAAAATTACATCATATGAGTTGGGTATCTACCTATACAGGCAAGTGAGGCTACCTAAAAACAGCACAGTTCAAAGACCTGATTGGTAATTTTTAGCTCCTCAGAAAATGAGGTGAGTGAAAATTATATTTTAGAAACTTTTTTAATGGTCTATCCAATTGGGGAAATTACTTAGTAAGGCAACCTTACTAAGGTTGCGCTGGGCGATGTGCATAGGAAGCAAAAGAAGAACCTTTTTGTTGCTTCTGTTTTCCTACTTGTAAAATGGGGTGTTTACCACGTAGTTCTGGGAAAAACAGGAACTAAGTTCAGGAACTATCAGGATTTGCAAGATTGTTTGGTCTTTGAACATTTAAACATTTTAAAAATTAAATTCGCCAAGAAACTTCAGGTTCAGAAATTATTTTTGGTCTAGTTGATTCTTCCAGATACCAAATTTTACTATTATATTACTAACGAAATACACTTATTGATGTAGCAAATGTTTCCTGTTGTGGCAGAATACTCAGATTCAAACTTAAAAACGTGTAAGCTAAGATAGGTTTAAAAAAAAAACTAAGCCAAATAACACAGGAATAATGAACATAATCATTACCCTTCTGATTTTTTAAAATGTATGTACTACTATCTTCAAAGCCAATTCTGGTTAAAAAAATTTTTTGTTTAAGTACTATTAAAAGGCAAATTGCATTAATGTTTGATGTCATTGAAAACAATTGCTTAGGGAAATAATGAAGTTATTAGCTTTGGATTTTAATAGCATTTTTACAGAGAAGAAAAGTAACTCAATAGAACTGCTCATGTTTATAAATGAATGGTTCAAGGTAATTTAAAAAATCATTTAATTTTTTATGCTTGCCTAGTTGTAAGGCCAAAATAATCAAATGAGCCAGCACCTCCCAACCTCTCCACATGGAAGGGGGTAATGAGGGTGGGCTGTTTGGAAACAATAGCTCGGCCTCGGAGCCCAGAGCCAGAGTTCCATTTCTGCCTGCCACAGCGAAAGCTCTGCTTGTCGTATGGATACCCACTTCTACTTTCCATCAATTACGAATCTCTTGTATAAATGTATCCATTACCAGGCTCACAGACTGGGAGTGATTTTTCTCCTTTGGAGCTCGTCCAGAATCCATCAGCCTCACACACATATTTACCTGCAGATCATTGGAAAAGCAAAAATGTTTAACTACATGTGTAAGGTGGTTGTCATTTGCTTGAATACCCCCTTGAAAAATGTTGATTCTTGAGCATCAGTGGGAAATAGAGGTGTCTGAATAACCATTTTACATGATTTCATAAATAGGAGGTCTCTGCATTACCATGTTTGCCTGCAAAGTGGAAACCTTTTAGATGTGTAACTTGAATATGTATCAAGATCTCAAGTGCTTAATGATAAGGTTTTTGGCTTGTTAAATTAAACCATTTGGAATATATTGTGTGTTTGTAGTAGTCATTTACTAGATAAGATCTGTTTTCAGATTCGTGCAAATTGACATTAAAGTCACTTCAGCTATAATATTTCACTTAGCTGGTGGGAGAAGTGCCTTTTAATCTTTTGTCTAGCTTTAGCCAAAAATGTTGGTTAAAGTTCATTGTCAGATCATGAGGACTTAGGTTCCAGATATCACTCGCCCCAGCTTTGAACGATTCGCGTACCGTCATCTGTTCTCATTGTGTAGAAGGTCTCATTACAGCGGTATTGAATCACAGCTTCGTATGTGGTCACTTCAGGACCCGTGACGTACTCCACTTGGCCATTGGGTAGGTCATCAGGAGGGCCACAGTCAACAACTGAAAAATGTGACAGGGAGGACTCAGTTCGGGTGTTCTAATGTTAAAGCGATCTGGAGGCCGAGATAGGGACCTGTGCCGTGGGGTGCTCTCAAAGCCCCATTTTCCCCCTGGGGTGGGTATCGTCAGTTTCACCTCAGAATGGTGAGAACTGCTTTAGTGTGATTTTAAAGCGTCACTCATCCCTGTCCCTAACTAAATGGCTAGATTGAGGAGAATCCCCTCTGGAAGGAGTGGTGTGACAGACACCTTTCCTGAAGGAAGAGGATTTGAAAGCACTTGGTCTGTCTTAGTGCGCTCGCTTCTGAATGAAGCTTTGCAGCAAAACCCGCACCGGGAACGGAAGAAAAAGGCGCGGTGTGCAGCTGGGTTGGCCCTGAGAGTGGAAACGCCGAACAGTACGTTGAAGGGCTCAGCTTGTTCTTAGCCTTTTCATAAATTGACTTTAGACCTGGAGTCATACCTTGAACCTGGGATTAGAATTCACACTTGTTAAGACATTACCAATGTGCAATAACTAAACAATTTGTGAGACAAGGGCTATTGGCCTACAAGTTCACAGACATTTAAATATATGGATGTATTTCTGTGGCTGTTTAAAGATGGCATCGAAATAGTTTCCAGCAGCTTAATAGTGGTGTGCCTGGCTCCGTGCCAAGTACTTCGCCTATGTTGTCTAATTTTCTACAGATGGGAGATCCATAACTACCTAGTAGAAAGTGGCAGAATTAGAGTTCAGACCCAGACCTCTGACTCCCATCAGTACCAGCTCTTCTTGACTGCTTTTGAAACAAACTTATAAGAATATTTAAATTCTCGTAGGAATTTTGTAGTAACCCTCGCACGAAATATGCAAAGATGCATGTGCAGGGGTGTTAACTGCAGCAGTGTGTAATGGTAAACCGGAAACAATAGAAATCAGATGGAATAAAAGCAGCGTGTGATGGGATACCGTGCAGCTGTTAAAGTTTGAGTGGCTCTGTTAACGCTGGGGTTGATGTGGGAAGGTGGCCCCGCAATGTGGAGGGGAAGAGCACACTGCAATCGGATTCGGTGTCCCGCTTTGGTTAAAAAGTGTGTAATAGTGAAATGCGTTAGTATACATAGCATAAGCGATCAAGAAGGTGAAAGAATAGACCCCAGACTCTTAGTGGTAGTTTAGGCAAGAGTGGCTTTCACTATATACTTCTGTAAGTTTATGTATTTTTCCAATTAACATTGTTTTCTAATTGAAATTAAGATGTGATTCTTAGTTCACAAAATGATAGTACACACCATGCCCCAGTTTGGTGTGTATATGTATACCTATGTACATATATAGATACATATCCCGACATACAGAAGAAACCTGTACATGTGTGAGATGTGTGTAATCGGAGAGATATACACCAAAATAGTAACTATCATACAGTGAGATTATGGGTGTTAAAATAATCTCTACTTTCCATCTTTATATTTTGTACTTAGAAAAGTATTTTTTTAAGATCACACTTTTCTAAAGCAAATACTTTTCCTAGTAGCTTGGTTTCATTTTAACCTCTAAATGCACCACTGAGAGACTGGGGAAAAGAAGCAAATTTGGACTCAAGCCCTGACAAACGGAAGAAGCAGTAGAAGCAGTAACAGCGGCAGAAGCGTTCTGGGAGTTGTGGTCACGTGACCGTACTGCTGCACTCTGGCATCGGTTGGTCCCAAGATCCATCTTTTTGACAGACTGCAGCAAATGATTTCAGGGGCAAATAACCCTAAAGAGGAATTCAGAAAATATTAATTTCCTGTTTACATCATAAAATCACTCCCCGAAGCTATGCTCCCACAGTGGTTCCTCTTCTGGTGTTTCACGAGATGCCCCCAAGGGGATTGAGGCACCCACAGGGCTGGACACAGTCCAACTCTGCCTCGGTGCAAGTGCATATGTGGTGCTAACGCTTCTGCTGGTCACGATTATCCTTCAAGGTGGATCGGCATTTCAGGACTCGAATGTTGACCTCTGCGGCAATTTGTGAGGTGTATTTTGGTTTCCACCTTACCCCGGGAACGTGTCTCACAAGTTCCGGTCGATGTTCCACTTCTTTATATTAAGTGCCAGGGGGTGGGTGGTGGTCAGACGTTTGGGAAAGGCCAACCCCGGGAGGCACGGAGTGAATGTGTCTGAATTTCTCTAGCTTGTGGCCATTAGCTGGAGGGACAGTACCTAAAGATGCCTTCATAAACTTTGCATGTGTGTTCTCGAATGAGTTGTCATCTCTAATACCGCTTACAGAGAAAGATTTTTGACATCGAAATATTTGTCTAAAGCGGACTAAATGAAAAGATAGCTTGGGCAGAAGCTTTATGCTTCAAAGGGGAGCTGGGTGTTTTTTTTTTGTTTGTTTGTTTTTAATGGAACAGGTTTACAGTCCCGGAGCTGTGAGGAGCCTGCCCAAAAAGTTTGCAAGGTGGGAAGTGGCTCTCTTTTTTTTTTTTTTGATGTTGCCCCTTCACAGGACTGGATTACATACATAGCTAGCTAGCATTTCATTGTTATTACTTTTTACCACCAGGATTCAGTGACAATTTTGAATAACATAAAGAAGACACGTTAATCTCCTACCTGCGCCCCGAAAGAAACACACGCAGCATTTTTTAAAATTAGCCTCCCTTTAAACAGTGGCCACTGTTCGTAACTGTAGACTGTACCATTTCCCTGCATGGTTTAATTTTCTTGGCCCAGAAGTTGTTTCACATAAAGGTCATCATTTGACCAGAGGGAAGAGCTTAATTTAACACATGCTGACAGGACAAGCAGAGCAAACCTGTCCTGTTGGTTCAGCCACTTTACCAAGAGCTGCTGTCATATGTGAACAGAGAAAAGTCATCCATTTCAATCACTACCTTTCCAGAGGAGCTCTATTAAAAAAAAAGTAAAATCCCTAAGAATAAAAAATTCTCCATGGCTATTCCTCGTCTCGGCAAACATTTCTTTGATGTTTACTGTTTAATCACAAGCAGAAGAAACCACCGTGGGGACAACAGCTATTTTCCCATATACATATGTATCCATTTAAAAACTGCCGGGACCGTCCTGCATTATTAACTTTGTATTAACTTACTTGCAGAAGCTCGTAGCCAGTCTCGCAAAACACAGAGAAGCTGTCTTTCAGAATGTACTTGGCTTGCACAGGTGAGATTCGGCCATTAGGTGGTGCCACCGGATCAGGGCAAGGCAGGGCTGCGCAGAGGAAAATCAGGCATAGCGGTTTCCATGAGGTCTACAGCCCGCGAGTCTGAACTGAGCTTTCGAAGTTCTTGATTTATAAATAAAACACTTAACAGACCAAGAGAACTCGCACAGGTCCTGTAGAGCTCTTAAGATTTACAGCCAAAGGCAAGCCGAGGCTCTCGGTTGCTTGTTGTGTAACTGAGGGTTTGTCGCCTTGCGTGGGCAGAGCCAAAGCTATGCGAGAAAGCCAGGCTTGCAGTAAGCTGGGATGGTCACCACCAATGGGGACTTCACACTCACTGCTGAAAACCAAGAGGCTGTAACTTGGAAGGGAAGGCTAGACTCCATGGGTTTAAGTCACAGCTCTCCATTCCCGGAGGTGACTGTCAGCCTCTCTTTCCTCATCTGTAGGGTGACAACGGCTGCTCACCTCCCAGGGCTTTTGTGAGGGAGGACCAGGAAGTTCCTAGGGGAGCACTTTGCTAAGTGCTCAGAAAGAGGGAGCTGCAATGAACCCTCCCTGATGGCTGGTGCTCAGGAGGCCTCGGGCTCCCCCTCGTGGGCACCCACCCACAGTGCTCAGGCCTCCAGGGAGAGACTGTCTTCCACTTTGGTCCCCAAATCCTGGCCTGCTGTCACTTCAAGGCTTCAGCCCATCCCCTGCAGCTCCCCTTCCGCATGTTACTAGTCATCTGCTGAGTCTCCTCCTCCTCCTCCCAGCCGCTGATGTGTGTCCTGGGGTGGCTCTTGGTCTCAGCAGGCCCCAACCTACAGGGACAGCCCTGGTGGCCCTGTAGGAGCCCAGGACTCCCCAAAGCCACCCCGTATCCAGGCCAGTGCTCTGCTTGTCCCCTCTTTCTCACACACCTCAAGGCTCTGTCCTGGCCCCTCCTTACCCACCGGCCTGGCAAACCTGTTTCTCCCCTGACTCCTCTGAAGCCAGCACTTCAGTTTTAGGAGTTTTATTACTTTGTGGGCAAAAAAAAAAAAAGGGGCTCTAGGGAAAGTAACCTCATAGGGCGGTCTGGTCTGACCGTAATTCCTAACAAGGCAGGTCGTGGTGTGTAGTCCCACCCCCGGCATATAAATTCTTTAGTAAAAGGCTTATCTCTGCCTCAAGCAAGCCCTGTCCCTCATTTCCCTGCACCTAGGGTGACACGCCTTTGAAACGTCCCCTTTCGGGCCCCTCTTTCTGAAGGGAGACCACCCTCGAGAGAGCCTAAGACCTTAACCGTCCCTTTATCTGAGCCCTGCCTTGCCTTCTCCCTCCTCCCGGTCATCTTCCTTATGTTTCCTCCTTAATCTTAGTTGCACAAAAGAAACTGCAAATTTAATCTCCAGAGTATTTGAGATCTTGCTCCCCAGTAAGATCTGTCCTCAGGTTTGGCTCAAATACTCCTCTAAAATTTCTCTACAGGTTTTGCCGAGCTGAAGATGGTATTTAGCCTGAAAATCTAAGCCACCTTCCAGACTTACTCATTTCCCCCGGGTCATCTCCCATGTATACAGAAGATACACATGTTAATAAACTTCTGTTTGTTTTTCTCTTGTTAATCTGTCTTTTGTTTTCAGCCTAAGACTTAGAAGGGTGGAGGGAAATTGTTTTTCCTCCCTACAGATGGAAGGAGGAAAGGTTGGATGGCTCGGTGAGCCAGCGGGTGGGTGAGTGTGAGGGGATTCAGAACGAGTCACCCCAAGGTGTGCCTCTGCTAGGCGAATTGTTTTGAACTAAAGGCAACTTTAGCTTCTGGCTCAAGAGAAACTTCTGCCCCTCCCTTACCTACCTAGATCTTGAATTAGGGGCTTTGCCCATAATAAGAGATTATCAGAGATAACTTCTTTGGGACTATCTATAGGGCTGGGCAAACCACCCCTTACCATACCTGTGTCCTCCCCACAATGACCTTCTGAAGCCCCAAGGTGCCTTATCTCATCCAGGGCCCAGAATGTCATCCGCAACCTTTCTCCCTTTCTGTCTTTGGACTTCTAATGCGCGTGGGATCTCTGACTCTGTGTATGCGAGATTCCCACGCATCCGTATTAAATGTGGTTATTTTCTAATCTCTCTCATGTCTATCTGATTATCAGAAAGAAACTCGAGCATAGAGGAAAGTTTGTTCCTCCCCCGCAGGCGGGCGGATGCCAAGGGCACCATTCCCTCACAGACCACCTCCACTCAAACCTGCTCTGTCTTCTGATGGGGCTCAGGACATACTATCTCAAAATATAGCACCTTGGCATGTGGAATATTTTAAGCAGAAGGAGTTTGCGAAAGCCACTCTGACCTTCCCCACCTCACCCTTCCCCGAGGGGGTCATACCACCCTTGTGAGAGGTACCCTCCCCATACCTGCGGGAGAGAGCATCCTTATCTCTGAAGCAGAGGAACTAACAGGCCCTGATCAGTTTCTCCAGGTTGCTCCCCTCCCCCATCGTCCGTAACCTACACCATTCCTCCAGGACCAGGCACGAATGCATACAGGTCTCCCTGTCTCTGGGTTTTCATTTCCTTCCAAAGGCTCCCGTGCCACGGAAAACTTACATGAAATGAACGTGCATGGCTTCTCTCCTGTTCACCTGTCTTTGTCAGTATCATTTCCAGACCCAGCCCGTGATGCTAAGAGGGTCAACGACAACTTTTTCCTCCCCTGCATTTCCCAAACCTGGCCGGGAAGAGTTCGGTTCTCCATGGCTGCTGGAAGAGACGGGAGCTCCGAGCTTCCCGCCAGGATCCCACTTGCTCTCACCTGTGCTGGTGTAGTGGACCTTCCAGCCTGTGTGGTCTCCTGACTGATCAGTAACAAAGGTGATGGTCACAGAGTTGCTCTGGGTTTCAATCCTGCCGGGTAACGTCTTCCCACAAAATGGGCCGTATTCCTTTTTGTCTGTTTGAATCTGAAAGCAGAGAGGCCTCTGTTACCTCAAGACCTGCAGGAGTCAGGATGAGGTGGGGGGTCCTGGGGACCAGACCTTGAGGAGGTCGTAGGGGCACTGGATTTCCGGGTGCATCTCCACGTCGAAGGACTCCACGAAGTCCAAGATGATGGCGAACCCCTCCTCCAGGTGGATGCTATAGGTGCAGCTGGAGAGTCTGGGGTACGGCCGTGGGTATTCGGGGCTGCTGATCACCCCGGACCGGTTGGCGAAGACCTGGCCTGAGCACAGAGCTGGGAAGGGGAGAGGACGGGGCGGTGTGAGCCTGGTGCAAGCAGATGACTCCGCCCCAGCTGTCCACACTCTGTGGTCCGGGCCAGGGCTCTGCAGGCCTCTAGAGACCAAGGACCCCACCCCAGTCGCTGAAGGGACAATTTAGGGAGGAGGTTTCTTTGACTTCCAGGCTTTAGCTGAAACAGAGGACTCTTGGGTGTGCATCCTCCAGGGGCCCCCATTCACACCCCAGAGGGGGTGGGAGCCCTAAACTGGAATTCCTGGTGTTGGGGGTCCTGGGCCAGACTCATGCCCTGAGGGTGAGGAGAGTGAGCGAGGTCAGGCTCAGTTGAGAAGGAAAGAGGCACCAAGAGAAAAGAAGGGGGCGAGTCTCCTTGGGCTGAGGGCCCCTGACCCACTCGGACCCAGTAACCCCCAAGTTCGTCCGCCATGGGGTTTCCGCTGATGCCTAGTGAAGGCCAGTCCAGCCTCCCCTGGGTCTCCACCTGGGCTGCTCAGGAGGTTGGGAAGGGCCTCCTTTGCTTAGTCTGGGCTCTGCCCTGGGGGGCAGCTGAGGGACGTGCAAATCCACACTGATTATAAACTGGTCTGGGGCCCTCCTCATCAGAATAGCTCATTCTGCCCTGCAGAGGAGCATGCTCATTCATGGAGGGGTCTGCCTCCCCCCAGGCCACAGGGACCTAGATATTTGAGCTGGGAGGCTTCTAGGGAATGAGGAGTCCCAACTCTGCCTTCCTTCCTCCTTGTGGCTGCTCCCCATGGGGCAGAACGAATCGGCATGGATGTGGGGGACCAGCCCGATCCCCAGTGATGACCTCCCTGGGCCTCGCTGCTCTGGGTCAGGGTCCCCCAGCTCTGCACATGGGGCCTGAGTTGCCTTCTGAACAGGAGGTGGTCCAAGGATGCTCAGGGCTCAGCTCTGGGTACCTGACCTGGTACATGGGAGCAGAGAGAGCTCTGTCCCCGTGTGAACTCAGGCAACCCTCTCCCCCTCTCTGGCCTCTTCAAAATGGGGTGTGGGGCTGGCGGAGCCCTTCTGACAAAGTAGCCTGTGGCCTTGTGGAGGGGGCCACCCACCACCTCGGCTGGTCCAGACTGCGATGAGGGCAGGGGGAGAGGGGAGGGGGCCAGGGTGCACACCACTGCCCTCCCCCACTTCCCACCCCAGAGACACACAGCAGCAGGTACAAGTGGAGCCAGGTTTATTGTTAGTTCCGAGGGTGGGTGAATGGGGGGCTGCAGGCAGCAGAGATCTTGGCCCGACCCAGAACCGCAGCCAGCTGGGCTCGCCCTGGCTTCTACCCCCTTGGCAGGCAGAGCCGGAGGAGAGGCTAGAGGCTCTGCTCTAGGAGAGAGAACAGAGACAGGAAGAGACACTGGGGAAGAATCACGGGGACAGACACCACGTAGGGGTGAGTGGTGGGCGAGGTGAGAGAGGCAGGGTCAATGCCAGAGGCTGGGGGTTCCCCACTCCCCAGGGCACCAGCTGGTTTTCTGTCCAGGTGCCTGGCAGGACATCCTCCAGGTAGTGGGGGCCAAAGGGGTCAGCCTGCTGGGAGCCAGGAACCAGCAGCTTTGAGCAGGCCCTGCCCCCAGCCCTGAAGCTTTGTGGAGGGAAGTTTGTGGAGCCAGGCTTAGGCCCACCCCCACTCCTCTACCCTGGGAGCCTCCCCAGGAGGGCAACGTGTCTGTATGGGGTCCCAGAGCCCAGATGGGCCTGGTGCACAGTGGGGGCCTAACACACGCTAATACACGAATGGGCCGGAGGGGAATGGGAGTAAGGCGGGCATGGAGGGAGGAGGGGAGGATTTAGAGAATGTGGTTGGATGGATGGTGAGAGGGTATAGAAGAACAAATAGGGGGCTGATGCCTCCCAGGAGAAGTGCCCGTGGTCTGTCCAGACCCCAGGGCAGAACAGCTATGACCCTGAGGGGTATGGGGGCTGGGCCAGGCACAGGGTGCCCCTGGCAGCTGTAGCTCACCTGAGCAGGTGCGTTTGTCCTGGTGGAGAACGTAGCCTGCACGGCAGGAGCAGTAGAAGCTGCCCAGGTAGTTGTGGCAGTAGTGGTCGCAGGTGGGTGCCTCATCTGGGGGCACTTGGCACTCATCGATGTCTGGGGGAGGGGTGGGCCAGGCAGGTGGTCAGCAGGGGAGGAGATGCGACAGCGCTGGGGTCTGGGCTCAGACTCGTGGCTGACCTGAGAGGAGCCTTCTTGTGCCCTAAGGAGCCCAGCCAGGCGCGAGAGGCCCAGGGTCATGGCCACCTCCCCGCAACACTTGGAGGGAGAAGTAAATAACACCTCTTAAAACCAATCACAGGATAAGTGTCCTGCTCAAGGTCACCAGCTAGTGAAGGGAGCAGCCAACAACGGAACCAAGTGGGGAGCGGGTGGGGCTACTCCGCAGGTTCCACTGAACCCTTACAGCAGCCTAGCGAGGAGCAGAGAGTCTGGGCCACTTGCCCAGGGTCACACAGCTGGTCCCTGTAGGAGCCAGAAGCTGAAATCGAGTGTCAGACTCCAGGCCCACGCGCAGGCAGAGCGCGCCAAGCTCTGAGCGTTCTCAGCTCGCTCTTCTATCTGCGAATGGGCTCGCTCAGCCCTGGCATCGCAGCAGATGCCCCTGGCCCAGCGCCTGGCAAAGAACTAGAGCCCAGTCCTGAGCAGAGGTCATAGCTGTTATTGATATTTGTATTGCAGGTGGTGTCAGAAGACAGAGGATTTTCTCCTGGTTTGGCAGGAGTCCGGCCTCAGGGAGGTAGGGAGCCTCAAGGGAGGGGTGGCCTGGCCTAAGGCAGAGTTGTCCCCGGTGGGTCGTGCCAGTCCCCCAGGCCTTCTCCAGCTCACCCTCTGCTGCGTAGAAGGCCTCAAAGCCCGTGAACGGCCCCTCGTTGGAGTAATCCGAGTGGAAGGTCACGTCCAGACTGGATCCCGGTGAGTAGAAAGTGTCATTGCCAGGGGCCCGCTCCGTATCTGTGCTCTGCTGCCCGCACAGCGTGGCCAGCACTTTGCTTCCTGAGCTCAGCTGTGGGGTTGGGGGTCACGGGGAGGGATGGCAAGACCCAAGCCTGCCCACCCCCCTCCCTCCGGGGCCAGATCCCACTCCCACGTGTCTCTGGCCCACTCCTGGGGACCTCCTGGCTGGAGAGAGGGACTGGGCACCCCCCGCCCTGGCGGCACCTTGACGAAGTCGTACTCGCAGAGGTAGGAGAGCTCCAGGTGGAAGTGGGTGAAGTAGAGGCGCAGGCGGTAGCCGGGGGGTGCAGTCAGGGTCCAGCGCTGCTCCTGGTTGTTGGCATACTTCCCTGGGAAGCCAGGAGACGCCAGGCGCCCAAATACGGGCTTGGGCCACTGTGGGCCAGTGGGTGCGGCTACGGAGCCACACAGCAGACCCAAAAGGACCAGCAGCCTGAGGGCGACACAGGGGCTGGTGAGGCCCTGGGGGCCTGCTCTCGCCCCGCACCCCTGCCACCAGGGAGGCCCTGGGGGCTGCCACCCACCTCATGGTGTGCCCGTCCCGCTGGCCAGGCCCGGTCTGGATTTGCGCACTGTCTCACCTTTGATCTGTTTGTCCAACACCTGGCCCTGCCCGCATTGGTCCTGACCCTAGAATTCTGGGAATCGACCCCATGACTCCTGCCTGCCCTGGGAACAAATCCTGACTCTGTCCCTAACCTCTGTGTTTCCTCCTCAGTGTGTGACCTCTGCAGGCAGCTGAGCCTCCACGGCGATAATCTCCACAATGATGCTCTAGGTCGAGATGGAGGAATGTTTGCGTGTACCCACTTTTGCTCCCTCCTGAAACCCTGCTATAAGAGAGAAAAGAGAATGTTTTAAAACACACGAGTGCACACGGATGGGAAATATGGGCGAGGCGGCAGCACTGGTATTTTGGCAGCTGGATGTTGCCTTGAACTTGCCCGATCTCGTCTCATCTCGGAAGCTAAGCAGGGTCGGGCCTGGTGAGTACTAGGATGGGAGACCACTTAGGCATACCAGGTGCTGTAGGCGTTAAAAAAAATAGTTATGATATTTTGGAAGCTGAAAAAACAGATGGATAGGTGGAAAGGACTCTCTAGAAAACAAGTCCAAGTTGGCAGTGGGACCAGAATTAGCTTGGGAATTGGCAGCACCGCATCCTTCTGGAAGCATTAGGGAGCCAGCCAATTCCTACTTGCCATCTCTTGACCCCAGCAGAAATGTGGAGACTGATTCTTAAAGTGAATTGTAAGAGAAGATCCCGGGCCAGCTGAGCGTGAGACGGGGAGGCAGAGAACAGCAGCAGTAAGCAAGTAGATTGGGTGCTGAGAGCCTCAGTTCCCCTGCTGACTCAGCTCCTAGGATCTAGCAGCCGTCCGGGCTTCTCCCCCTTCTCCAGGAAGTGTGACCAGCCTAAGAGGAAAGACCTGAAGGTTCTACAAGCAAATGGTTCAGCTGCCATCACCCACAGCATGGGTTCATTGACAAGCCTCAGTCACGTGCTCAGAGCTTCCCATTACCTTTTTAGTCCCAACACATGAGCAGGACATTCAAGGGTTACTGAGGAAAACCTCAAACTTGAGAGAGAAAGATCAACCAATTGACCGCAGAATACAGAAACAAAGCAGGGAGAAGAAAAAGTCCCAAACCAAAACAAAGCGATCATTAATATCTTCAGAAGAAAAAGAGAGGTAAGAACAGAATACTATTTAAAAAGAGCATTCAGAGGACAAAAAATAGTTCGGGGGAATAACAAGTAGGATAGAAATGAAAAACTCAATAAAATGTTTGAAAAATAAGATTGAAGATATCTTCCAGAAAATAGAATAATAATAATAAAAAGAAGTGTAAAATACTAAAGATAAGAAAATTAGAAACTCTATACAGTATGTCAAAGATCAAGTAACAGGAATTCCAGAAAAAAATAACAAAGAAAATAGAGGAGAGGAAATCATAAACAAAATAACGCAAGAAAATTTCCCAGGACCAAAGAGAACACGAGTTTACTGATTGAAAGTGTCCCCTTGACTTGGACGGAAGACCACCTAGGAAGACCAGGTGCTGTAGGTATAAAATATAAAAAAATATAAGGGATTGTAAGTTGACAAGGTCCTTGCAATCTGCGAGGTCAACCAAGGGTTGCCTCACCTAAAAAAAAAAAAAAGTCCCCTTGAGTATCCAGAACAAACGATGAAAATAGAACTTTACATGTCATGTTTCAGAACACCGGAGAGAAAAATTGCATTCTATAAACTTCGAGAGAGAGAGAGAGGGAAGGAGAGAGAAAACAGAGTGAATCACACAAAAGGAGCTCTCTCAAAATAACACTGGAAACTGGAAGCCACCTCCAAGATGGCCCCCAGCGTTTTCTTCCCTGGGGTGGCCACGCCCTTCTGCAGGCTCGTCTACCATGCTGAATGCTTATGGGTGGGATATAGTTGAAATGATGGTGTATTACTGTGCGGTGAGGCCATACAAGAACTTGTAGCGACTGCCTGGCTCTGTCTTGAATCGCTTGCTCTGGGGAAAGCCGGCTGCCATTTATGAGGACACTCAATGTCCCTGTGGAGAGGTCCGCAGTGGACAGCACTGAGGCCTCCTGATGGAGCTGCCAGAGGAATTTGCTAGTCATGTGAGTGAGCCTTCTTGGAAGCTAACCCTCCATCTCCAGTTAGGGCTTTGCAGTCGTGACCAACAGCTTTACCGCAAACTTATAAACGACTCTAAGCTGAACTGAGGGAAGAGACCTGCTTATTTGTGCTTCTGCTAGGTTTGGGGCTCATTTTAGACAGCAATAGATAACTAATAAAAATAGAAAAGAGCAAATCTCGAAATGCTCAAGGAAGATTACTTCCAACATAGAATTCTATACCCTTCTGCATTCTATACCCATCAATCAGGCATGAAGCTGGGATAAAGACATTTTCACGCATGTCAGATTTTTAAAAATTTGCAGCCATTGTCCCTTTTCTCAGAAAGCTACTATAGAATATGCTCCACCAAAACAAGGGAGTAAGCCAAGAAACAGGAAGACATGGGATTCAAGAAGTAAGAGTTCCAAAAGGAAGCTCCATGAAAGGTGATTAGAAGGCTCTGGACAGATTCTTCAGGATGATGAAAATGACTGAACACCTGTAGAGTCCAAGGATCTTTAAAAAAAATTTTTTTTTTAGTAATTGTTTTTTCTTAAATGAAAATGTTATGATTTATACTTTACTGTATAAATCATTTAAATAAAGAAATGCATATCATGTATATTAATATTTCCTGTTATCGAATATCCCATTAAATATAATTGTGATAATCATGAATTGATTATAAATTATAATGGGTCTAAGTAAAATACTAAGCTCTCATAATCAAAAGTTATTTGATTAGCATATCGTTCAGACCTTCATGAAGTGTGTTGCATTCACAAATCTTAAGAGCTTTAGATAATTGCTAAAAAAATTGAGGCTAAATTAGTGATAAATTCATTGGCAATTAAACAATGGAAAAATCCCCCAAAAAACCAGGGAAAAGGAAGCGGTGCAGGAGATAAAAAGTTATGTTTTACTCCTTGCCTCAATTGTGAACGGTACTGATGTAGCTGCAATATTGAGCTAACCGAGATTATCATTTAATTGTTGACAGTGTGTGGGGGCGCGGTGGAGGGTCAGGGAAGAAAAAAGCTAAATCCTCATCTTCTCTAGTGGAAAATCAACAGATTAAAACTAGAACTGACAACTTGAGAAGTAACAAGCATGTTATTTAGAGACGTGAAGGTAAATACCAAAATAACCAGCTAACAGAGGTAAAGGGGCTGCCTCCGGGGAGAATAAAAAGCGAGCATAGGGGGCTGTTATTTTCGTTCTAACAATCCACGTGGATTTGGATCCTTAGACCGGGGGCGTGGCTAAGTTTGATAAATAACTAAACTTTAAATAGGATTCGTTTTATTCTCCACATGACGAACTGTGGCTGTTGAGGGCCCTCTCCACGATTTCTGGGACTTTGGGGGACTGAGGTCATGTCCTCACCAAACATCCTGCCTCTGCTCCAGTAGGTTAGTCTGCATCTACATCATGTCCGCCCAGATGCGGGGTTCAGTGATAGCCCTTAACGTACAAGGGGGGTACGACAGTCAAGGGTGGATGTGTGTGCAGGAACCTTTAGTAAAAGTTGGGGAAGCGCAGAGGATTTACATTGCAGGCAACTTCCAGGTCAGGCATTGTTCCCTAAATAGGCCCAGCTATTTCTGCAGCATGAGCTTTCCTCTCCTTCCTCTGCCCTGAGAGGCCATTCCGATTTTTACCAGCTCAGTGAGCACCGCATGGCATGTGCGTTTTAACGGAGCCTGTAACAGGTCCTCGAGGACCGGTGCTCTCATTTTATAGACGTGGTAACCAAATCAGGAGCTGTGAGTGGCTTGCATCAGCGGAGTTGAGATTTGACCCATGTCAAGTCCTCTAAGCTGGAACGCTCCCTTCCCTCGTCCACCTTCCCTGCCAGCAGCATTCTTGGGGGGCCCTCAGGCTGAACGTCCTGGAGCTCAGTCAGTAAGACGGCTTGTGGGGAGGGGCTCTGGGCAGATGTCCCTGCTGGGAGCCCAGGGTGCTTGGGCTGAGCTGCAGAGGCGGGCAGGAGTAAGCAGAGTGGGCTGGCTCTCGGGAGTGCCCAGTGTGTCCTGCCTAGCCTGCTTACTAGCATGTCACATGATCTTCCTTCGCTTTATAGGGTTTAATAGTATCTCCCTCATAGGTGGTTGCGAAGGTTAAAAGAATTAAGCCACGTGGCAAGTCAGCGCTCCATAATTCGCCATTGCTAGTCTTCCTTTGATGCTCACATCGCAGCTCATGAAAGTCCAGACTTCACCTGGCCTCCCTGGGAGTTGGGATACCCTGCAACACGTGATACTGAATCCCAGGACGGGGTTGAAGATAGTCCTGGCATTGGGGGTGGAATGGGGAAATTAACTTGGGGTCAGACCTGCCGACCAAGGTTAGATGTCAGGTGCTGAGTCCAGTGAGTTCATGCGGGTGCTTGAAGCCCGGAGGGCGTCAGTGACCTGGAGTCACTCAAGGAGTTGGCTGCACAGCTCTATGCTTGCTCCTCACCCCCCTCCCATGAAGACTCCAGTCCCAGCACCTGCTGAATGGGGTCCAAGGTAGCTGCTCAGGTTAAGGCTGGGGCCACTCACTTGTCCCCCTCCCTGACCCCAAATCTCTCAGGTTAATGCATCCTCTGGCAGTGCCTCTGCCCAAGCTGTGGAAAGGGATTGGTGATGCCAGATTTTCAAGGAGCAAGGCGCTGTTCTGCGGATCCTGAGACTGGAGTAAGTAGAGGCCCCCTCCCCAGCCCGAACCCTGTGGTGGCGGATCCTCTCTCACCGCCATTCTGCCCCCAGCTTTGACAGCAGGGAGGCGCCTGGTGCACAGGCCGTTCAGCACCATGGAGAGGGGACAGTCCTATGCCCATGGAGTCCTGGCATGGCCACCCATACCTGTTTTCTCAACTTCCCAACACTTAGGGGGAACTTCTCGGAATTTACCAGAGCCAGTCAGAGGCCCAAGTAACGAGACCCAAACCAAGCTCCAGCCAGGCCTGTAGGCCCACCACCGGCGCTCCCTCAACAATCCTCCGAATCTTCTGAGAGCACTGCAGGGCGGCCTGGCCACGACCTTGTCAACCCCACAGCCCTTGACCCAGGGGTGTCATCACCGATTGGTGGAGCTTGGTGAAATGACTGAGGCAGATTATTAGGACAGATTTGGGTCCAGTTTGATGACTGCTGTGTCTCTTGGTGCCAGAGGACAAGGGGCCAGTTGAAGGTTATGCAGGGAGGGCCCAGACATGCAGCAAACACTTGGAGCTTAGAGCCTGGCACACAGGAGTGAGTGCCCAAAAATGGCTGATGCAGTCCCTGCCTGGGCCCATTCAAAGTCTGGGGACACACGATTCAGAACTTTGTTATAAATACACGTGTTTGGTGAGTGAGGGGTGACAAGGCGGAGACGGTGCTGTACACAGCTGGTATAGGCTTAGAGGCTGAATGCCACAGAGAGAGAGACACGGACGGTCTGCCCAGCGGGGCAGGCCGGGCAGCATCCGGGGGCCTGTGACACTTGGTTGGTGGGTGTGCCAGCGGGGGTCTTGTCCAGGGCTCCCTGGCCCGAGGTCCTGGGCGGTGTCAGCAGTGGCACCTGGGCTCAGCTCACATCATTCAGGGCCTGGTGGAACATGAAGCCTCGTCAGGAGGATGCTGGGTCGAGCGGGGGTGCCGAGGCGGCCCCTCAGGGAGCCCTGGGTCCCCTGCCCGGCCTGCCCCACCAGGGTAGCTCACCTTGCGGGCAAACTCGGGCAGGACAAAGGCTGCACGGTGCACGTCGGAGTTGTAGTATCTCAGCTGCATCTGCTCTACCTGCTTCTGCGTCAGCTGCTGCACAGGCTCCAGGAAGTTGGTGTTCTGGGGGGCGGTGTCGGAGCCATCAGGGGCGTGCTCTCCTGTGCACCTCTTCCCCCTCCCACCCCCAGGACAGGACAGCTGGAAGCTCACCGGGTTTTTGCTGCACAGCATGAAGCCGATCTGGCCACTGGGGTAGGTGGGGATGGTGCAGTAGGCGTAGGCCACCACGGGGAAGAGCGATCTGCAGAAGTGCTGCATGTCCTTGATGAGGTCCAGGTGCAGCCACTGGCACTCGCCTGGGGGGAGGCAGCATCATCACTGGCATGACAGACCTGCCCCAGCCCACCTGCCTCTCCCAACTGCCTGAGGCGCTCACCCTGGCAGCAAAGGATGCCATCCTCCTTGAGGGCCGTCTTCATGAGCTGATAATAGGACTCCTTGAAGAGGCTCTCAGCAGGGCCTGTGGGGGTGGGGGACGAGGGACACATTCCGGGTCACACATCCTGAGCCTGGCTTGGGGGGCCAAGGGCCACTGTCACCCACACAGTGACCCACATAGCTGAGCCGGGACTTGAACCCAGTCTGTAGGATTCAGAAACCAAACACAAAGAGGGTGCTTTTGCGGAGTACAGGGATCCACTGCCCTGATATCTGAGGGCTCCACACTTGAACCCCATTTCCAGGGGATTCTCATTGGTACTGCACTAGGGGGCTTCTGCACTCTGAGACTTGGTTTCAAAGGAGAACCCACCTCCGCCCTGAGGCTGGCCTGTCGAAAGCAGAGAGGAGGTTGGAGAAGGAACTCAGGCCTCACTGGGCCAGGGCCAGAGCCCCACTCTCCTCCATGTCCCCAACTGTGACCCTCGGGCAGTGGCCTGGTTCCCCTACTCTGCTGAGCCATGTTTGACGGGGGAGATGACAACAGGGAAGGAAAAAGTGCTGTGCTCGTTCTGGGGGCCCCTCTGTTCTCTACTCGGCAACTCGGGCACAGAAGGCAAGGCTGGCTCCTGAACTGGCAGCTGCTGGGGGCCCCGGGCCCACCCCTTGCTTACCCATGGGGTCTGAGGAGTCGGTGATGATAACATCGAAGGCATCCCGGTTCTGTTTCATGAACTCAAAACCATCGCCCACGTGGAGGGTCAGCTTTGAGCTGGAGTAGCCAATGGCCATGCCTGGCAGGAACTTCTTGGAGACTTGAATGACGTCCTGGGGAGGGAACAGGCTGGGTCACAGGGGCTGGGGGCTCTGGAGCCAGGTGGAGTCAAGTGGGACTCCGGGCAGTCCTTTTCATAGCCCGGTCACCTTGGGCCAGCTATTCATTTTTGTGGAACTCATTTCCCCATCTGTAAAATGGGGAGCACTCCGGGACCTTCCTCAACTTCTCATGGAGGGCTAGCTGCAGCCTGCTGCTCAGCTGAATGTCCACAATTCCTGTGCTCAGCTGAATGTCCAATTCCTGTGCCCTCTCCCAAGACCAAACCACGCCAACTTAGTGGCTTTCTTGCTCCTTCAGAGGGCAGCAAGTCCAGCCTCCACCAGAAGAACCAGTCCCTGCTTCCACGTGGCCGGCTGCTTCTCATTCAGGCCTCAGCTCAAACCTACCTCCCAGGGGCCTGCCCTGACCGCTCTCCATTCTTCAGCTCTCACTTGCCTTTCATGCCTTTATCAGATCACCTTTGATGTCTCTTGCTACCTAGACTATCAGCTCCAACAGGGATTGGATCTGCCTATTCACCACTGTACCCAGCACTTAAGGCAATGGCTGCCACATAGTAGGTGCTCATTAAAGACATGCTGTGTATGTATCAAGGGCAGATGCCCTAGCAGTTGGAACGTCCCTGGGCCTTGCTTTAAAAACCAGCACCCAGTCTTACTGAGAACTAGCATCAATGGCATACCTACTATGTGCCAGGCCCGCTACTGCCCTCCTAAATCCTCCCAACGTGTTTTTGAGATGAAGAAACAGTCTAGAAGTATTAAGCGACTTGCCCAAAGGTACACAGCCAATTTGGTAAACGAGTACTTGAACCCAGACTCTGTCCCTGACCTGAGCACTCACCTCGTCAATCTCGCACTGGACCACAGACTCCACAGAAGAATGCTTCACTACCTCCCGCAGGACACCCCCGTCCCCGCCCCCGATGATCAGCACCTGGGAGGAGGACAAACAGTCAGGAGGGGGGCCCAACACCAGCCCCACCAAACAGCCTTCATCAGGCCTCAGGGGCGGGGGCTGCACTGGGCAGATGCACTCACAGATCCTGCAGCGAGGGTTCGCGTCTCAGCCCCTCTGGTCTACAGACCTCATTACTCCATTTTCTACTCTCAGAAATGCTTTCCTGCTTCAGGAACCTGGCTAGAGGGGTCCCCCTTTCCTGGAAACTCCTCCTTAAGCTTCGGGCCTCAGCCAGAACTGTTTGCTCCTCAAACACTGTGCCAGCCCCCGCCCCTGCAAAGTGGGCCGCTCTCCCACTTACTCCCCTTGTCCTTGCTGGCACTTTCTCTGACAACCGTTTAGGAAGCACCTAGGCTGAGTAATGGGCACATCAGAGGGGCCTCCAGCACTGTCTTGTGGGACGCTGAGGGATGGCTTTCCTATCACTGGGCTCGAGGCTGAATCTTGGTGGGAGCCGGGTACCTTGCGTGGGTTGGGGTGGCTGCAGAGGGGCAGGTTGGCTATCATCTCCTGGTAGGAGAACTCGTCCCTCTCTGTGCACTGGATGACACCGTCCAACACCAGCACGTTGCCGTAGCTCTTACTGTGGGGCAAGAGTGACAATCAGGGACCTGGGTCCCCTGGGGTGGGGGCAACGTGCTGCCACTCATCCTGGGTGAGAAGAATCTCCCCCAACCTTAGAAGGGGCCCCAGAGGTGAGTACTGGGGGTGACACGTGGCGAGGACCGGCAGGGAGGCCCGCTGGGCGGAGGTTGGGGTTAGACTCGGGTCCGACTCTGACGTATCCCTGACT